ATGATGCTGAATGCAGGAAGATCACAGGCCAGTGGGTGGGAGGTCTTGTGGACCCAGTGGCGTTGTAAGCATCTCAGTGCCGGCAGGGGTTTCCACGCAGCTTCTCCAGCTCCCAGGGCTCTGGCTGCATCAAGGCCACTTCATGTGGCTTCTCATCGGAAATGTCTCCCAGGGAGCGAGCCTGTGTCCTGCCTCCAGTGAGCTATTTGTCTCCTTAGAGCCTCCAAAGGAGGTCATCGAGCTGTGATTGACATGCTAAACTTCACCTTCATTCTTAATCCTCCAAAACTGACAACAGATTATGTAACTACCACAGGCCCCTCCCCCTGCCTCAGTCCCTGAGTATAGACCCCCTCTCGGCCCCTAAGGTCATCCCACTCTCAGCCCCCTGAGTATACAGACCCCCTCTCAGCCCCCCGAGGACAGGCTCCTCTGGTCCCCTCTGTTGCTGCCCAGTCTGTCACTGGCCCTCAGGTGTCCCTGCTGGCCGCCCTCTCTGTTACAGCCCTGGCCTTGCAGCCTGCGAAGGAGAACGTGGCTTCCCGCGACTTTCCGCTGCGTCTCTTCCTTCTGCTTCTTTCTGTCTCAGACTTCCGGTCATGCGGACTCTTGCTAGCTACAACTCCTTGGCAATTTCAAGGCAGGGCCTCCCACCACGGCCACTAACTGGCCAACCCCCTCTCTGCCGGCCACAGACAGACCACTTGTGGAGCTGGGACCAGACAGGAAGGGCAGGCTTACCTCGGAGGTATTTCAGGTTCCACTCCAGGCCGCTGCTGATCTGGAAAACAGGTGGAGTCACGGCGCGCTTGCTTTCCCACTGCTATGAAAGGGTCCCTGGGCGCACTGGCGGAAAGGCCGGCCGCTGGAAGCCACCAGGGGAGAGAGACGGCAAGTCTGCTCCTGTAGAGAGGGCAGCCTTGCCATCCCCGTGGGGCAGCTCTCTTCTGCCCACAGGGTCCCGGTGAGTCAGAACCGAGCCCGTGGCAGTGAATCCTTTGTTCTGGATCATCTATCAAGAAGCACCGACATGGTTGACTTATGCTGTTGGCGAAAACGATCGAAAGTCCTGACAGGAGAACACACACACGTCCTGGAAGCAGTCCAGGCAGGATGCTGCTCACGAGCAGGAAGGGAGAGGTTTTATTTCACGTGGACCGGCGCGTGTTATCGGGAAAGGCATGTCATGTTTGGTAAACGAGCGCCAGGGGAGAAGAGGCGGCCCTCATGGAGAGGGATCGACAGAGTGTTGGTAACAAGGGGCTGGACCACCACAGCGGCTGAGAGGAGGGCGCAGGACAGGGCAGTGTCTGTCCTGTGGAGCATGACGTCACCGACGAGTCGGAGTTGACCAGCTGCCCCGCAGCAGCAAGATCAGAAGAGCTAGCCATCTCAAGGCTCCACGTTTGAGGTCCATCTGATCTTCATGCTTGACGCAAGTGGTGTGTAGATTATTTGCACACAGGTTCCATGACGGACGTGAACGAATGGCCATGTCTTCAATTCTTCTGGAATGCTTCGGCCCAGAAGTGCGTGCGTGTTTTTCCATCTGTGTGCAGGGGACTTTCCACGTGAGCGCCGAACCGCTGGGTGCGAAGACCTCATTAACCGTAACACCCGTAGGACCGGCGATGTCCGTCCTTGAGTGGAGTGGTGTCTGTGTTGACCACGACAACCGCGAGGGCCGTGGCGTTCCACCGCTGGGCTGGGGGCATGGGGTTCCAACGTCCGCCAGGTTGGACTGTGAGCAGTCTGACTGACAACCCCACACAGGACCACTGCTGTCCAGGCCACGGGGGCTTACGGAGACTGTCAGAAAGCGTTGAACTGCCCCCCGGGGTTTTCTAGGTCATCCGTCTGTCTTCCCTGGAACAGACAGCCTCATCTTTCTCCCGGGGTGAGTTTGAACTGCCAGATTTTCAATTACAAGCCCGGAATTTAACCCATTTTGCCACCAGGGTGCCCAGAAGCTACCTTAGAATCCATGACTCACAGCTTCATTCCAGTCAGGAGCAGAGGCATAGCTGGGCTGTAATTTTCAGAGGCATGGACCTAGAGGGTCAGCCACCGAAATGAGTCCCTTGACATGGCCCTTCTAGCCACAATCACTTATGGAATGTATTGTAAATTATGGCCTCTCTGCCCCTGGCTACAGCCCATTTGGAGGGAGTCCTCTGCTGTGCCGCTGGACAGGATTAAGGTGGGATGAAGTAGAGGGTGTGAACCATGTGATCTTCCTTTGTTTCCTTGAGTTATGGTCTGCCGAAAGACAGGAACCACACCTCAAAGCCACGCCTCTGCGTGCAAGAGCCATCTCAGAAGCGGGAACACAGAGAATTCCCAGGACAATTGGAAGAAGAGCCCCCAGTGGAGTACGTTGGAGATCTCTGAAGGGACAGAGGCCCGGGTCAGAGGCTCTGGCATGGACACCGAGGGACAGAGGACAGGACCAGGCTGCGATCAGAGGCTGAGACAGGACCATGAGACAGAACAGAGTAGCAGAGCCAAGCCTGTGCGCCTGTGAGGGCAGAGTGGTGGGCTGGCTTCCTGGCCCACGGAGGCAGAGGCCAACGGACCATGTGGCTGGGAGGCTGAGGCCCAGAGAGAGGCGTGGCTGCTGGCTGAGGAGAGGCATGGCTGCGGACCAGTCGCTGTACTTTCGTATTTTCTGGTTCTGACTTGTGGTAACCCGTTGACCCCCCCCCCCCCTAATTCCGCTTAAGCGTGAGTCTAATTGGTGAGCTCTGTGCGGCTATTGCAACAGAGTATGGATGCCGGTGAAGAACCAGCATGTCGAGGGAGGAACGGTCGGTGTCAAAGGGGATAAAGAAGGATGGAGGGGGGAGGCCTGTCTGAGCCCTGCTTGGTGGCAATGGGGAAGCCAGAGGAGGCCACACATGGCTGTCCAGACCATTTTCTCAGCCTCTGTTCCCCGTTTCCTGTAGCAACCGGAAGGTAAACACTTCAATCCTTGGGATCTAAAGCTTCGTCCAAGCTCCTGGTCCTAGAGGTGGGGAAAGAGCCCTGGCAGGAAGCTGTCTGTCCAGAGGACAATGGGGAGGGTTTGACCTAAGGCCAGTCGTTTGCTTGTCTCTCTGGGCTGACCTTGGAGAAGGGGTGGCGTACTCTTTGAGAACTTCCAATGGGGCTTCTCTAGGGGTGTCTTGGATGAACCCTTTCTCGGTGAATTTCCAGAACTCCCCACATCCCCAGGGTCTCCCTGATCCCCGGAGACAGAGGGGAGCTGAAGCAGAGATGGGCGCACACACACAGGAGCACAGAGGCACGGCCTCTCTTGGCTGCGTGGGTGGTCTAACATGTGCATGCCCCCTAGGACCACTCCCATCTGGCCCATCTCTCGGTCCTCCCTGGACTACCAAGCAACTAGTCGACTGAAGGAACTGGCCACTCCTAAGATCCGGAATAACATTTGGAGCGTAAATATGTCTGAGGTAGGTGCCTCGCTGCTCTTTTTCTTTTTTAAATCATTTCACTGGGGGCTCTCACAGCTCTCATCACAATCGATCCATCGATCCATTGATCCATCGATCCATCGATCCATCCTACCATCCAACCATCCATCCATCCATCCATCCATCCATCCATCCATCCATCCATCCATCCAATCAACCATCCATCCATCCATCCATCCACCCA